TCTCTTTTTTTTTTTTTTTTTTTTGGTACTGGGGATCAATCTCAGGTTCTTGTGCTTGCAAGGCAGGCACCGGAAACACTGAGCTAAATCCCCAGCCCTCCCTCTCTCTTTTGTGTCTAAAATGCCTACTCACAGACTTGTTACGAGGGTTCTACATGAGCATGTGTGTGTATACGTGAATTTAGTGCCTGGCGCACAGTAAATGCTTCATATTTGAAAGTCTGGTCAGTGTTACTACTAATGAAACTAGAGTTCAGAACACAGAGGATCATGAGGCTCCACGGACTGGGGCTACCATAAAACACTGCTGCAGAATCATTAACTATCTAGGTAGGAGAGGGAGCTCATGCATTTTATATGTGGATTTGGAAAGGACTGAAACAAAAAGGGTAAACAACAAAATCGAATCAGTATACACACTACATTAACCAGGGTTCTGCTAATTCTAGGTCTCAGTCTTTGAAGAAGCAGGAAGGTGGGATAAGGAGATAAATTTAAGTTGGGATAGCAGGGAGTTTGGGCTGGAAAAATACATCAGAAGGCTGGTAAAATATTTCTGTTTGCAAGACTGTGCTAGATGATTTATAATAGGTTTCATCTTTTGGCAAAAGGTGGAAAAATAGAAGATACTATTTCTGTTAAATCTTTTTCTGAAAGTAGGCTTCTTTAACACTTCTGATTAAAATTCTGTGGTTCGATGCTTATGAAGGACTTTGAGTAAACAAGCATATTTATGGTTCCATTTTGGCAACAAAGGGAAAAAACTGCTGAAATGTCTGCAGCACTTTTGGAGGCTGCAGAGAAAATGCTCAATTTCCTGTTCATCAGATGCAGGATACCCACTGTCTTTCATTTTCAACTTTCCATTGCCATTGGTCCTGAGTAACATCAGGGGTAAGCAGAAGTATCTGGTCTTGTGTTCTAGGAACAACTAACAGAGGAATAGGAAAAATCAAAACGGTATCATCAGAAATGAAATGCTGGGAAATTAAATATTGCTAGCTAGCACTGTATCCCTCCATATCTTCAATGCTTTTAAGTTTGCACCTGTTCTTTTTCACATCCTAAGAATGCTAAAATTAAAGCCCATCTGGTAAGCAAGGTCATTTAAAATCAGGCAGTCCACAAATAGTGATGACTGTGAGAGACAGTCCATGGCTTTGGAAAGACAAGATTTACTTTCTGCTCCTCTCTGGCGAAGTATGTGATGGGAGAGACAGGGTAATGTGACTAAAAGGAAGTTTACAGTGGCAAGAGCATGGGGATCCCCCAAGTGATCCCCATTATGAAACAAGAGTACTAGAATATGAATTAGGTCACAAACAGGCCTGTTCTGCTGCTGCTTTTGCTTAACCAGGGGGGGAAAAAAACGACAAAACACACAGTGTTGTGTAATTTAGGCATCTAAGCCTACAAGTCATAAATGCCTTGGCCTCTGCATTATGAACTTAGTATTTAATTGGGCATCTGTTTTGTGCAAAGCATTGTATTAAGTGTTGACCATGGTTCTTGCTCTTAAAGAACAGTCTAGAGAAGAAGACAGACAACAAGAAAGTAAATAGGTATGCAAGGTAATTTCAATCGTCTCAAGTGCTACCATGGTAATAAACACAATTCTTTCAGAAAAATGAAGAATCAAGAAGCTATTTTAGGCAGAATGGTTAAGAAGAGTTTTTCTAAGAAAGTTACACTTAAATGATATCAGAAGGAGCCAGGCACCTGGAAAACTGTGGCAGACAATGCTATGGACTATGCCCTACTGTGGTCCTTCCCTTGAGTGAGGGCAGGGCTTATTTATGACAAGAATGAGGAGCTTTTGTAGATGTAAATGACTTAATTCTTGACTTTTAATTAATCCATGGGGAGTTAATCCCAGTAGCCTGACTTCATTCGGTGGCTGTCTTAAAAGTAGATCTAGAAATCCAAGATCTGAAAATCCAGTTTCTCTCTGTTGCTGTAGCTGCAAGGAAATGAGTTGTGCCAACAGTATGAAGGAGTTCAAAGTGCACCCTTCCTCACTAAGCCTTCAGTGAGTACATAGACCGTCCAGCATCTGGTTTCCAGCCTTGAGAGACCATGAGTACAGAACACAGCTATGACAGGTCAGGAATTATGGACCAGAAAAACTGAGATTTAATAGTGGGAGATAGCAAAGGAGTATTCCTCTAAGCCACTAACTTTATTACACAGCAGTACAGAAAAACAAAATGCAATATTTTGAGCAGGATAACATCTATCAAGTCATCAAGAGCTGTGTGTGGGCTCCAGAGATGACAATGAGGAGTCATACTGTGGGGCATCATTCCAGGACAGAGCAAGGAAGTTTAGATTCCATCATATTTCACACAATGCCTAATGCACAGTAGATACTTAGGATATCTGTTAATGAATGAATAATGGAAAGAATTTTTTTTGTTTTTTTTTGTACCAGGAATCAAACTCAGGAAGGTGGCAGAACCACTGAGCTAAATCCCCAGCTCGGAAAGAATGTTTTTTACTTTAGATTGTCATTACCACTGCCCCATTCCCAGATTTTAAAGTATTTCTTCTGCAGTTAATTACTGAGATACTATTATATGCAAAGAACTATATTGTTGTTATGGGGCCAAGAAAAGTGATTAATAGAGTCTGGCCCAGAAAACAAATTTTCTGCTAACAGATCTTTTGGGAACTTCTCAACTCAGAAAAAGCCACGTAGTTATATGGAGATTAAGGAGTCTATAATGAGTTATGATCCAACCCAGCAATCTGGGTCACAGCTGAAAGCCTGATAATTTGAGGTTTCTCTTCAGAGTCTAATAAACTATCTGAAAAGCTGCCAAGAACTAATCAAGTCCAAGGAAGACAGTACTGTAATAAGATAACCACATTATCAAAAGCCACATTGATGATGGTTTGGAAAACAGAAAAATGAAATGTTAAGAAAATTAGCAGTTTATTAATGTTGGAGAATTCAATATTGAAAATGCAAAGGTGTTTATAGATTGGAAAGCCACATTCCATGTGTCTCTAGTCAACTTTCCCAGATTCATGAGGAACATGTCTAAACATTCAGATAAATGACATGATCACTGCCATCTCCTAAGAGTAAGCACATGCATGTCATCCCTGCTGCCCATGAGGCATAAGTGATGGCTTTGGAGAAGGTCAAGGGATGCTGTGACAGTTCCAGGAGCTGACAAAGTGAACAGCATGGAACACACAGAAATGGCAATTTCAAAGAGCGGAAATGAAATACAAAGACAACTGACTTCTTCAGCTCACACTCATGCTCTAGCTGGGCTGCCTCACTATTTATTTGCATTTAAATATATGGGACAATGTATGATTGTTTCTTTCTAAAATGCATCTCTGTGGTGTTTTCAAGGAAAATTTCCATACATTTTAGAAAGAGGTAATTAAAGACAACGCATGATGTAGGAAGCAGCAGACACTTGGCACAGCTGGGCATCCAACTGATACCAAATTTGGAGACCACTAAAGGGAGAGGGATGAGATGGGAGCGTCTTTAAAATGCTTTTCAATACCAGATCTCCAATGCCATCCAGATCAGCTTTGCTTTTGTTGAGTTAGCATTAGAATTAGAATTCAACTGGAATGCTCTCACAGCTACGTAATTGACTGCTTCTTCCTGGCGGCTGATGAAAAATAAAAACACCACTGATTTCATAATGAGTTGCCAATTACTTTACAGTAGGTGCTATGTTATGTTGAGTGTGACCAACTTGTTCTAATCCAACCATTCTCAACCAACAAAATGGACTTTAAAAATTCCATGTGCAAACAGAGAAACATTTGCTAAGCCTTGTTGCTTTTTCTTCTTGCTCTGATAGACATGATTCATGTTACAACAAACAACTGTTATGTAACTGATATAATCACTCTTTGATAAATGTCATTTCTCATTTGAGATGAAAGTGGCAATTACCAGCAGATCCCTACAAGAAGAGATCATGAGAACTTCCAGAAAGCAACATCAGAAATCAGATTCCAGATTACCCTAGGAGGTGTGTGACATGCACAAAAAAAAAACCACTAAGCATATTTTGAATCCTTGGCTGAAGATATACAAATTCTATTGATAAACATTGCCTATCTTAAAGGCAGAACCATCTCTAAAAAAACTTATTACTTTGATTTTTCAGCAATTTGTTACATGGAAACCAGGCCAGAATCATAGGGTCAACTTACCTCAGACTCAATAATCCTAGTCCCGTGGCCCATGAGAGTTTAGGGGATGACAAAAGATTTTAACTTCTTTTAAAATCAGAAACTCTGGAATATAATCCAGACTACAGTAGTTTTTTACCAATATAAAGAAGTAGCCCATGAAAAGCTACAGGGTGGTTCTGTGGACCCATAGTTCTGGGCCCAGGTGTGGGACACCTTACCTGACACGCATTGTACAGGAGCTGGTGTTCGAACTTCTTGATCCCAAGAATGTTCTGGAACATTTCGTAGAGCTGCTCCTTGCTCAGAATCAGTTCAGAGGCTGCGCTGGCCGTCATCCGGGCCTGCTGCTTCCGGGGATCCTCTTCCCCACGGTAGATAGCATCAAACTTGGCCATCCAGGAGCTCAGCACGGTCTCCTTGCTAAGGCCATCGATCTCAGGCAGGCTCCGCACCCGTTTCTCAATGTGCTTCTTGAAGACCTCCCGTGAGTCATTGGCGGAGCAGCCCCCGCTCTGCACCATGCGGGCTACCCGGTCACTCTTTAGGAACACCTGAGTATGGACAGAGCGAGGAAAGAGTGTCAGCCACGGAGGTGCCAGTCCCTAGGCCTGGACACTGCCAGCTCTCCTCATGCTCACTTTGGGAGGCACCAAGTCCTGTCACATCCCGCCCACCCATCCTGGCTATGTGCACCTGGGGAAAATCACTTACACATTCTGCTTCTGTATCCAAATCTGCAAACAAAGTAACACCAAAACAGGAGTCCCCTTAATCTCAACAGGGATGGTACTGAGACCCCTAAGAGAAGCCCGAAACCATGGAAAGTAGCAAACCCTGGAGGGACAATGTATTTTCCTGTATGTGCATTCCCATGATAAAGTTTGATTAATTCACTACAGTAAGAGTTTAGTAATACAAAGTAATAATAACCTAGAACAATTATAACAATATACTGCCATGAAAGTGATTTAAAACTTCTCAACAGGGTGGGAGAACTTTTGCAGACAGCAAAGGAATACAGGGATGGAGGGAGAAAGAAAGAAGGAGAGGGGAAATAAAAAGGAACAAGATGCCACGTGTACCAACTCCCCAGGATGGGTGTATCACACACGTTATGTACCACACACATGTACAAATTGTAAAAATTCATCAAAATATCAACTGTTCTCTTTTGTAATTTTCCTTATATTATTTTTGGGTTGCATTTGACTGCAGGTAAACAGAAACTGTAGAAAGTGAAATTACTTTTAGGGGGAGAATTGGTGGTAGAAAGGATTCCATGAGAATTAACAATGTAAGAGGAACTTATATACTCAGGCTTAGGGTTCTTTCTCTGCCACTTAATGGCTGGAAATCTAGGCAAGTCAGCCTTGTAGTTGTACCTCACTGCTTTTATGTATACAATGGGGGTAACTGGAGCCCCTATACAGCTATTTTAAAATGAGGATTAAATGAGTTCTTTTGTGCAAAGTTCTTAAACCATGCCTGGCCCCACTACATGCTGTGTGAGTTGTAGTTGTGATTATGTGTAAAGTTCTTAGCAGGATGCCTGGCACACAGCACTGAAATGTTAACCACCACCTGCATCTTGTGGATGCAGGGACACCCTCAGGGACACCTATCATAAGTGGAAATTAATCAGTGTTAGAGAAATATGTGTTTAATCATCTATAGTCTACCCGGAAATGGAAACTTCATGATGGCTTCAGTCTCTGACACAGCACCTGCCACACAATCTGAATTAACCATGAACATGGATGTGATTGATATTCAGTCTACCATGTGGATGGGAAAACCATGGGTCTCGAGGGGATAAGAAACTTACTTTTGGTAAGGAAATAGTCTGACTAGAAACTTGGGGTCATTCTAGCACTCTGCTCCTCTCTTCCCTCTGGGCGCTCCGCAGAGGGAGGAACCAGTGCTGCCTGAGTCTGGGGGGAAATCATCTATTAAGAGTGCTCTAGACCATACTGCTAAGTGACATAAATCTGCACATAAGCTTAGATATAGCATAACTTCTCGGGTGAAACACCCAAAGCATAAGTAATTTAAAAGGAAAAGAAAAGGAAGACAATAGGAAGCAGGTCATTGGTAAATGGGAAAGAGATCTTGAGATGGGCGGAAAGGGAAAGGGTAATAAAAAGAATTTGGTGTGTTACATACATATACCTACTCCCCACAACAAATGTAATCATTATGCACTGCAAGCATGTGCTAATAAAGAGTGTTTTACTCTTGTTCTGCTTGCTGCCCATTTCTTGAAACCTCACACAGCTACACGGTTCCTGGGTGTCATACAAGGTGGTGAGGCTGCTGCTTCCTGCACAATGAGGAAACTACCGCCCCTAGAAGCTATGTCCTGGTCACACCTCAGGGTCTCCTAACGAGCCCTCCGGAGGCAGAGCAAGTGTGCACTTCCTGTCAGGCCGGAGGAAATACATGCCCTCGCTGGCCCAAGAAGGCACCACTTGGGCCTAGTGGGCTCCACATATGTACCGTTTCCTCACAGGGCCTCTCTGAGGGTGAAGAGACGTTAGATGGCAGCTGTGAGCTAAGTGAAGCCACCTGAACCGGGGGCTGAGCATTCACCTGGCAAATAGTACTCAGTGAGACTTTACAGTTCCTATGGATATCAGCTACAGAGGGAAAGTTTCAGATGAATCCTCAGGCATTATGAGCCTTAAGAGCCAATGAATTCACCTGAAACCTGTAATACTTAATACAGTTTCCTCATCTAACTAATGTGTTAGAAGCCTTAGCTCCAGACCTAGATCTCAGAGAACATCAAAGTATTCATGAAAATTGAAAAGTCTCTGGAAAAGCAATGGAGCATTATGGCAGAAGGTGCACATTCGAGTCCTATGTCAGCTGTGCCACTGTGTGTTCTAAGGTAAGGTGCTTTCCCTGTTTGATGCTTCAATTTCTTTTCTACACACTAGAGGAGTTGAACTGTAAGAATCTGGGGTTATTCTTCCAGCTACACCTATACTCCCCTTCTTGAACCCATTTGTCCTTTCTTCGGTGGTTAAAAGGTGCTAATCCACTGTTCTAGATGCCAGGGATGCAATGGTGGAGGAAAACACAGATTCGGCTCTCATGGACTGCGAGACACCATCCTAATAATCCCACACCAGTGCCATTACAGTCAGAAATAAATGCCATCACAGCCGGGTACAGGGCCCATTGGTCTACTCCACTTTGTGGTCAAGAAAGCCTTCTTAAAGAAGAACAGCTTGGAGGGAGCCATGAGACGGAAGGTGAGCAGAGACAGAAAGTATTTCAGAGAGAAGGAACAGTACACGCACACACTCTGGTGGCTGAGAAAACAGGGAGAAGGTAGTGTAGGTAAGGTGCTGCAGGACTGGGAAGTGACAGATTCAAGACTGGCAGAAGGGTCAAATGCCCAGGGCATGGGCACAGCATTTTAAAGGCACTGGGGAGCCACTGAAGGTTTTAAGCTGGAATAAGGTGCAAGACTAAAGGGGGCAAGAGACCAAGCAGGGGCGGTCTTTGTAGGTATGCACGTGTGCATGGACAGAGGCAGAAATGCAAAGGGGTGAGTTCTTTGTACTCAGCCCTACAGAACATCACAGGTGACTTGTAAACAGTCAACAACACAGCCATACCCTCCTCCCCATCTGTCCACAGAGGTTCCCACAGACCCAGGGCAGCCCTGTTATAACTCTCTTCACCACATTCGTTCTCCCCAAAGCCCTCTCCTAGCTGCTTTGTAACTGCTAAGGATTTGAATCTCCAGGCAGACTGCAGGCTCCAGGGAGGCAGGGCTGTTGGGCTTACTTCTCAAGACCTCTTAGTGCCTAAGACAGTGTCTGGCACAAAGCTGGTGCTCAGTGTTGGCTGAATGAGTGCAAGACTGACAAGAAGAAGGCAGCCTTCCCTGGCAGAGGCCTCCAGAGTACATTGGCTGGGCAAGAAGATAAAGGGGACATCAGCATGCACAATGGATGGGCTTCTCAAAACAGATGCTGGCACTCTGGTCTCGGCCGGAGACTGGAACTGGCTCGGTGAACCCTGAATCCTAAGTCTATCACCTGCTCCTCTCAGTCCCTTCTGTGGTACATTGCACTACTTAATGTATACTGAACCACTCATGATGTCCTTTGCAGTCACTTAACCTCATCAGCTCTTCTTCACCGTTCACAGGAGCTTAATCCAGTCTTCCTTCTTAAACTGCAAGAATTTGAAAGGTAGACACTCTGTGCAGAGGTGAGATATGACGTGCAGGCTCCAAACAGAGGGGTAGGGAGTGGAATGTCAGGACTGGGTAAGCACAAGACTGAAGACAGGAAGGAGGAGGTGCAGAAGGCAAGCCCGGCATAGGGAGGGGAGAGAGGTGGCAGCAGGAAGCTAATTTCTCAGGCACGTCATGTGTCTTGGCTTCTCAGTCTGTGGGAAGGGAAGGGACCCTGGGGCAGCCTGACCTTGTGGTGAATACAGACACAAAGCACTGACGTACAGTACTTGTTTGTCTCTCTGCCAGCCACTGAGGCTCATTTGTGTCTGTTTGTTTGTTTCTGTTTTTGTGTTTTGGTGGCTGTGGCATGAGACTTCAACCTCAGGCACAGTGCCATGCAACACGTCCATAAATCCTTCCTCCTCCTCTGCCAGCTTCCAGACAGATCATAATGAGAAATGGAAAATAAACAAATAAACAGAGGATTGTGAAGGGCAGTCAATGCAGGGACTGGCCTCATTCATCAGTCCTTCCCTCCGCTGTCATGGCCAAGCAGCTTCAAGACTATTTCAGAAACTCACAGCCACAGCCACAACATGTTTTGGGTTTTGGTGCCACATGATGTGGCTGTGCCCAGTACAGGGTGGGGCTGGGGTGCTCCCACTTTCCTGCTGACAGACTAAGAACCAGGCCATACCCTGTCCTCTTTTGTAAAGGCCTTCTGCCCCCCCATATGGGGAGGGGTGAGACCGTGTTCAAGAACAGGGCTCTGGTGTCACCCTGCCTTCTGCTTACCAGCAGGCTCTTCTGCTTGCCAGCTCTGTCACCTGAGCACCATCCTTAATCTTTGTGGGTTTTGGTTTCTTTACCTTTCCAAAGGGGGCGACAATGACGTCACTTTGTAGGATACTTTGGTAAGGATCCAATAAGTTATGCAGGACAAATGGTTAGGGTAAGAATGTAATAAAAGTTGACTGTTATTTTTAAGAGAATATGATGTGGTCATAATAATTACATGTATTTACTGGCCACAGATATGGTCAATGATGTATCATTAAACCAGAATTTCACAATGGGAAGGGGGAAATTGGAGGGGATAACAGTGTGTCCCTATGACATTTTCCAGATAGGGGCATGCTACATGAATGACTTGTGCAGAGGTTTCTTTCTGAAGAAAGTGACAACTGTGCTGAGTAAAAGAGGTACATTCTGGATAATTTGTAATTCTCCACCTTAATATGGAAATATTGTGTATGGATACACTAAAAATACGAATTGTCTAAGATGACAAGATTACAAGTATTTGAACCATTCAAAGATTCTCCTACATTCATTTTTATAATTGGCATGTTTTACTTTCATAATCATTTGAAGCACCTCTTTTTAAGTGGAAAAATATAAATATTCTTGCAAGGCAATAGCATGCTGGTTTCTAATATATAAGGCACTTTTGGATATTAAAGCTATGTAAAGGTTCCTGGAGCAAATCCCAGAAGCAGACCTGGAGCCATGACCTTGTGGTAGGCGATCTGTCCCAGGGCTCCACCCTCACCCTGCTCTGAGCTGAGAAATGCACTGACGGTGTGAGCCCACACTTCCTTTCTATGATGTCTAGGCGGCATACGGGCACAGCACCACCTTTCTCCCCTGCCAACCTTCATAGGATCATCGCAGAACTCTCCAGGTCCCTTATATGGAAGTGTGGCTACATATGAAGCAACAGGCTTGGATCTGGCCAAGGGCCCACAGCCAATGTGCAGCAGCACTGGGCTCACGCCCTTTACTCTCCGTCCTTGGCCTTCTCCCGCCCACAGGGACGGCTGCTGTTACAATGGGGAGATGCTCTTCTCCTAGGGATAGATCTGAGTCATTATTAGGGGTTTATGTACTGGAAAATATACTGTTTCATTTTAGAAAATAGCTAAGGCAACCTCACAGATATTTTTTAGGTTTTGTTTTTTGTTTTTTTTTACACAAAGGTCAACCAAAAAGACTAAGGGGCCACCCCACGCGGAAGAACCTGCAGTCTCTGCCTACCAGCCCTCCTCTCTTGATGACAGCCTCTTAACCTTCCTTCCAAGAACCCCTTCCCATAACACAGTCTAATAAGCAGGATTTTGGCCACAGGGCCTTGGCCTTCTGCAGCCACATAGTGACTGGGCCTTGAGTTTCCCCAGAGAGACTGCTCCTTGCAGGGGTCAGGACAACAGTGGGATGGCACCAACTCACAATGGAGACAGAATGACCACTACATAAAGCTGTTACACTGCCTGGTCCCCCTTTCTGAAGCCTGGCTATTTCTTTTAATTACAACAAAAGCTACAATAACAGTAGTTTCTGTTGCTGTTATTATATTTAGAGTTTAACCACAGTCATTTTATATTACTTATAACTGAAGAATTCTGTCTGAAACAACATTAAAATTGAGTTTGACAAAAATAAAAGAGGTGTTTGTTCAAGGAGAAGATCAGCTAAACAAACAAACAAACATAGTCATGGCTGCCTCACTGGCGGAAGCCAGACATCTGCTGTGGAGTTCCTGAATGAGTTTTTCATGACTCCCCCATATTCTCCACACCCGCTTTCTACAAAATCCCCCAGGTTTCTTTCAGGCAAGATCTGAGATTGATAAACTTTTCTCTCCACTTCTCTTCTCCGCTGCTGAGACCAGCCTTAAATGAACCAAAATTAAGCAGAGAGGCAAGGAGGGAGGGCTTGTATGTAAGACACGCGTCTTCTAAGGACTGAGAACATGAGACAGTGCGTGAGCCGTCTCAGGACAGTGGTGTGTGAGCGGGGCTGAGCTGCTCGGCCACATCTGGGAGCACCTATCCCAGCCCCCAGCCCTGGCAGCCGTAAATAAAGTGATGAAAGGAATAATCTTCTGCCCAGACTGATCTCTTCTGACAACGAAGGACATCAGGAGAGGACAAAATAAACCTGTACACTTTTGAGAGCCTCAGGGAAACTAGGTCTTCCTCTGTCCCACCCCAGCTCAGCCTCCAGGTCATCCAGCCTGCTGTCGATGGCCACCTTGGTTCAGATTAGATCAGATGGGTTTAGCTGTGGAGAAAGCACAGTACTTCCCTACTTCCTCTTAACTGAAAAACAACTCTACTACTCTAGCATATTGACAAATCACTGCCTTAGCAAAATAAGCTCAAATGCCTAACCTGAGTTTTCTACAAAAGCAATCTCAGAATGTTTTAAGGAAAAGCTATATTATTTTTTTAAGATCTTTGCTGGTGGTAAACAAGAAAGGTAGGAAGGAAGCATGGGGAAAGGGTGGAGGAGGAGGATGTCAGGGCAGAGAGAGAGAGAAGAATGAATTTGGAAGAGGTTGGTTCCAACTGCTGAGCATACATTCACCCTCTTCTGGCAAGAAAGAGCCCTAATTTCATACTGGAGACCATGGTACTTCACAGGAGGAATGGCAGCAAGGCTGAACTTGAGCTCGGAGGGGCGTGTCAGTCTTAGGCTTATCCCCAGGCTGTTTCAGCCCTACCCATGGTGACAGGCTCAGGAAGGTACATGCCATCTATGCCAGTCAAGCAAGTCACCCCTGGGCCTTTGCTTAGATCCTCCCAGAAGAGGTGTTCTCTTTGTCCCAGGGTGGCTAAGTTAGTAGGATAAGCCTAATGTCTTCACTGTGGACAGAACACGTACCAGACTAAAGGCGACACAGGAGGGAAACAGAGCAGTATGGAGGAAAAACTCCATTGTACTAGTAATTTTGGAGTCTCTGAATCCAGCAGTAGCTGAGGCCAGGCCTGTTCCTGCGCTGTTACTCTAATTAAGCAAGCAAATCTCTTTTCAGCTTATGCCAGTCTGAGTTAGGGACCTGTCAGTCGTGATCTAAAGAACTCTGGCCAACACAAAGGCCAACAGGGGTGTATGTGAACCCCAGACTCAATGGGAAAAGAGGCACTAACTTTTCCAGAAGAGTGAAGGGAATGGGACGAAAGAAAGAGAGGCCAAGCACCTTGGAGCTCTGCCCGGCAAATGCTAATCTTGATCCCTGGATTGAAGGCCTTCGTTTTAGAGGATTAGACTTCCCCAGAAAGTGAATCCAAGATTTTCTAGAGCTTTACTAATGAAGACAGCAGTGAGATCATTAATGCCCCACATTTACATGTCACCCAAATCCTAACATTAAACATTCAGTAATTCCTCGATGCCCAGATCCTCACAAGACAAAACGAAGCTCTTTTTAATAAACTAGTCACTGTAGAGGAAAATACCAGGATCACGGTAGCTATCATGGCAATTTCCAGAGACTCGTTAGCACACTGATGACTATTAATTCTCAAATTTAATTAATACATAGAAATGGCATTTTTAATTTACATCATTAGTCAAATGAGCTTTCCAATTAAGATTTGTAATCTACACGTTTATAAACTAGCAAATGACTGTAAACACAGAAGTATTGATAAGGGTCTGTCTATCCTGACAAGGGTTCTCACATTACTCTCCCACCAGCTTTCAGAACTTGATAAAAAAGGGAAAAATTAATTTCACTCTCGGGTAGTTTCTGTACTGAATCTTTTGTTAGATATATTCATGTAATTCACTGCCATACATCACTGTGACTCCAAATCTCATTCCGACTGCCCATGAAAGTCAATTTAGAAACTACTCCAACAGATTAATCCGCACAATCGAGGTTCACGGGCATTAATGGATACTACTTGTAAAGTTAAAAAAACATTTGAATTGGGGCAAATACGAAAATTACCTTGACTTCTAAAATAGCTCTGTATAGGAATTTCATTAAGGAAATGCTGTGGAAAATGAGTCTGTAGTTGGAACCAACAGATGTCACAGAAACAAAGATTGTTTACTATTAAATGTTATGTGGAAGCCAATCAATAATATTTTCACAAGAGCTAATTACAATCATGCTCCACTCTTTTCAAAAAGAGTGAGTCAAACACTTTAGCAGGCAAGGAGAATTTTACCAAATTAAAATTTCTCTAGCAAGTAATGCATTGAAAGCACTGTCATCAATAAAATAGAAAATTCTACCACACAAATGTTATATATCCTAAAGATACTCAGCACATCCCCTGGCATAAAAATCAAAAAGCAGTATTCTATTCATACTTTTCCCCAAAAGAAAATGCTATCATTCCTTAACACTGCAGCCCACCGCCAACCCCTGTGCCCAGGGAGGGTGATCCTGTAGAAGGTCTTCTATGCTATTCTTTCTGACCAGGAGGAGCCCAGAACCCTCCACCTGGGGCTTCAGCAGCCTTTTGGCCTCCTGCATGATGCTTCATACCTCATAGTAACTCTGGACGGCGTTCATGAAGGCTTCATCAGCCACGATCTGGGTTTCCCCATTGAGAAAGGCCTGAAACCGGTCCTTGACTGTCTGCAGCTGCTGTTTGCTGATCTGTAAAAAAAGAAAGAGGGCAAAGTTAGGACTAGACAGGTACAGACCACGGCTGCTCTCTACTGACAATGCCTGCACACCCTGAGGAAAGAAGTCATTTAAGTTTGCACAAACTTTTGTTCACCAACCAGTGTTACAAACAACCATGGTTAAAAGGTAATGTAAATCATAGTTAAATATATCATATTGAGAACAAAGCCAATAATCTATAATACTAAAATGTAACTGCCTCCTCCTCTGGCATATTTTACTTTTATCTGTGCTTTTATGGTTCCTTACAACTATGGTATCTGTAAGGCTGGAAACGAGAGTGGGTGTGACCTCATTTCTCTCCCCAGCTGTGGAGCAGTGATGGGGTGGGGTTGGGGTCATTCCAATATATAAATAAGTGGATAATGTATATTTTAATAATTAAGATGGAATATATTTATATAAATATATAGCACATATTTGTATAAACGGATTATATAAATTTTTTAAATATATAAACATTTTAAAGAGATGGCTGCTAAATATTTCATAGAAAAACCAGCATTGTCCAGGCTCCTCAGGTGACCTAAAATATTTCACAGGATGCAAAACACAGAGGCTTTCAGACTTTCTTCCTGGTGCCACAGGACACAGGGCCAGGAAGCAACAGGATTCAGCAGCTGGCTCTGTGCCACCCCTGTCCATCAGTCCCACCTGGTCTTCCCTCCTGGGAAACACTTCCATAAGACCCTCCTTATTTTCCTGTATTCCCCTTATGTGGCCATGTCCTCCTGTCCTTTGGGGTCACGTGAGCAGCCCCTAGCCTAGGTATGTCTTCCTACTGTGTGACTCAGCAGTGCATCATGCACTTTAACTTTCTATTAGTGATACTGAATGTCAGTTACTCAGCCTGTTTTAATATCTTCACGGATGCTTCCCCAGGGCCTCGCTAGGGCCTCCCTGGGCATCTTACTAGGTGGCAGGTACTCAACAAATGCTGAGTACAGAAATGAATGAATGAAATATAGGAAAGATATACTATTTTTGGAGATCTTCTAAGCAGTTCCAATTTATATAAAAATTTATATGTCAGGTAGAACTGTTTTTTTTTTTAGTTAAAAATTTAAAAAGGTAAACATTTTGTAAAGAGTTACACTCCAGAATTAAAAATGAATCACGTGTTTGAGAATCACTATTCTAACAGAAGAAGTAAAATCATCCTAGCACTGGTTGGCCACTGCATCGTCTAAGAAAAGCTACTTATATTCTGGGGCCAAGCTGAATCAAAAGCCTTTCTGAAACAGAGTTGGGCTTAAACAAATTTTATTTCTCCCTTATTTTTCTCACTTGGAAATAGTGACAAATCTAATGACTAGCTGCCTTAGGATAGTGCCAGCTATCCAGTTACAAGAGTTCCTTTTTAAAACTGTAAGTTTCTGATTCACTGCACAGAATGATGGCTACAGCAGGTGATGACACATTGCATTCCAGACACATGCAGAGGGCTCAACACAAAATGTGAGGTAGGAGAGGCAGTACATTTGTCAATTATCTACATTTAACCACGCCATAATGTCCCTATCCCCCAAAACATCAACCTATATACAACACATCCATATATACAATTTTATAAGCTGATTTCAAAAGTTATGAGTTTATACAGAAATTTAAAATATTTTTACCTTTAAAGTTAATACAAAGAGAAACAAAGTTTAAAACTATAGAAGACTTAAATCCAACCAGAGTTTTGACTCAATCAGGAAATAAAACAAAAACCCAGGAGTTTGAGGAATGTTCATAAATGGAAGCTGGGTGCTTTAATTCATTCATTAAATTAATTTTTATAACTCTGGAAGAATAGCTCTGGAGTGAGAAGCAAATAAAAAGAGTTGGGTATTTGTCAGGTTAATGTATGTTATGTTTGTAACTGTTCCATGTCAGCCATATGTGTAATATTACATTGTGGAATGTCGCATTTTAAAAATTAAAAGAAACAGGTGAAATGAATTTTAACATAATTTATTCATCCAATAGGTACAAGATATTACCATTTCCAACATGCAGTCATTATGCAAATTATTGAGATATTCTGTATGTTTAATGCTGTACATTAGGAATCTGGGTACTTTACTCCTTTCTTTTTTTTTTTTGGTGCTGGGGATAGAACTCAGGCCCTTGCGCTTGTGAGGCAGGCGGTGGAACCGCTGAGCTAAATCCCCGGCCCATGGGTACATTACTCTTGAATGCACCTCAGTTCAGAGTGAGGTGATCAACAGTCACACATGGCTGGAGGTTAGTGTACTGGACAATGTACCCATCACAAAGCTATTCAAGCATGGGATGAACTCACTTTGTTTAAGCTGCCCTGTTCTGACCCAGGGAAACCAGCACAAATGGAGTCAAAGAAAAAAATCATAGTAATCTTGTATACGCTTGAAATTATATGAACTCAAAAATTAGGCAGTTGATTTGGTCATAAAAATGACACTGATAATTTCTTTTAAGCAAACTGGATGTAACTTAATGAATACACAAACCCCGCCAGTACAGGACACACAAAGGCATTTCAGAGTTTCTTGTTTAGAATCCCTTCTAAGACAGGGTCAGCTCTTTGAGATTTGGGGATGGGATTGGATGATAGGGTGGGAGAGAATAGCAAACCTTGCTTTTGTCCTAAATGTTTAAGTAACTGAAATAAAATGATGTATGTTCCATCGAATGACCAAGATTGTTCACCCAGGCCAAGTCCATTGCTTGTGTTTTTGCTAAATGACAGTCATAAATTTTTACTTAGTACCCACCAACTGCTCAGCCCTGTACCAGGCCTTCAGGGTCCACTGGTCAACAAAATATACCCAACCTGTTTTCACTTGGCTGGACCAGGCTCTAGTGAATCAAAAGAAATCAGGGGACCTTGCAGTCTAGATGGAAAGAAGAAAAAGCACACAGAAGATGACACAGCACAGGTTTAGGATTCAGGAGAGAAATTACAGAACATAAAGCACTCAAGAAAGAAAAGACCTTTGGGAACATTAATTTTGTCAGTTCAGAGAACACCCACCATGCAGCGACACAAAATATCACACACTTCTCTGGACAGGTCAAGCTCCCACAGCAGGGCCATCAGGGGGAGGGATACAAGCTGCAGAACTGTGGTTCAGCCTGCATTTTGCCACCTGCCATCTATATTGCTCTTTTCTCACTGCTAATTAAACAAACATAACATTTATTCAGTCAACTCTCTAGCTGTGTTTCATTGGGCAAAAACAAAACTGCATCTCAATTTTTCCACCTGTCCAATGGAGCCAATATGGATCTCATAGATTATACAGAGGATTAACTAGGCTAAGTCAAATCCTCAGGGCAAATGTGACTGCTTAGTAAATGTTAGCTGCAGTGGAGGTTCTCACCACTGGGACTTTCCACAAACTAGTCAAGAATGCCTACCTGTGGGAAATTCAAATGACAAAGGGACACCATAAACTCAGGGGCTGCCACACCCTGTGTCAGCTGGCTCAGGCTGCTCCCAACGCTGTACTGCCCCATGTCACTTACCTGCTCTGTACTGCCCCTTCACCAGTGATTGTGTGTGCCCGTCCTGCCTTCCAGAGGCTTTTCCCTGGCTGTTCCCCTACTGTGGCTGCCACTCCAGGGCTCAGTCTAGCCCACATCTCTAGGAGGGTCTTCCTTGACCACTCAAACCAAAGCAAAGTCTCGGAGCTCATCTTCATCAGGTCCTGTCCCTGGGCACTTCCTTCACAGCCACATCATGGCAACATGTATCTTCTAGTCATATAAATTTGAGTGCTTAAACTACAACACACTCATAGAGAAGTGGGCATCCTAAGCCCAGGGTGTGCAAGTCCTCACCAAATGAACTCCACACGACAACCCTCATGCCAAGATAAAGAAATCACTCAGACCAAGAAGGCCCTGCATGCTCCCAAAGTCACCACCTACGCCAAAGTGACCACCACTTGATTTCCACCCTCCGAGCTGAGTCTAGCCCACCGTTCACTGTGATGTTAGCGCAGTAGCACATTCTGAGATGCATCGGTGTGGTTGGGTTTCCACGGCGTGTTGATCCCCACTGCTCAGGATTTCAAAGTGTGGCTCTGCCGGTCTGCCCACTCTCCTCTTGATGGACATCTGAGCCCTCATCATTTAAATACTGTGCTTGTTTTCACAAGTACAAGACCATACCCACTTTGTGGCTAGGGGCTGCCATGTAATGGGATGTAAGCAAGTTTTGTTGAAAGCATACATCAACTTATTGAATGCTTAATGAATAGCAAGCTCTGGAGATATAAAATTACCAAGGTACAATCTTCGCTCTCGGGCCAGGGCCAGATGTATTAGTCAGCTTTCACATCACTGGGACACAATACCTGACACTCACAATTAAAGGAGGAGAGGTTTATTTGGCTCATAGGTTCAGAGGATTCAATCCATGGTTGGCTGTCTCCAGGGCAGGAACATCATGGTGGAAGGGCATAGCAGAGCAAAGTTGGTTAGTTCACAGTGTCTGGGAAGCCACATAGGAGAGCAGCACAGTATAGACCCCAAGGTCACTCCTCCATGTCCTGCGCTGATATACTCAGAAGTAGCTGGGCAATTCCCAAGCCAATCACACTGCCACTCCAGCTTAGCCATCACATTAGGGATCATGCACTTCTCTTTAACTTCCTGGTATTCTTTGCCAACTTCACAAGTGAAGGAAATCTTATTTAGAAGCTCCTACAAATGGCTATTCTAGGAATCAATCTGTGGAACAGAGTTTATCTCTGGGAACCGACCCAGATAAGATTGAACCCAGAAGGTGACCTTGCAAGAACAGACTGAAATAATTGGCCCAGAGTTGCTGATGCTGATGGTGTGACTCTAAATAAACAAATGGGCCTTGCTGCTCACAGAGAGATCCCTCCTAAAATAGAAGACATCTACCGGCATGGGATATGTACAAAAGCCACTTGTACATCAAGGTCAAAATTCCAAACTGCAGTACTGAGGTCCAAAAGCAAAAACCTTGC